GACTTTCTATGAAGCCACAATTAGCTATAGGGAGGATTTGGATCTTCCTGATTTAGTGTAATAAGGTTTACTTGTTAGAGAAATATAATGTGGTAACATAAAAAATTATTTTTAAAAAAATGTGCACGGTCAAATTATTTTATTGTAATAATAAAGATGAATTTTCCCAAAAGTGTTTTAAATAGAAAAATTGGCATTGTTTTTAATTTTCTAAATAATATTAACAGTGGTAGTAGTAATAATAAGAATGTTTTATCAATCCCAATAGCAGCAACAATAAAGCTAATGAATCAATGGAAAGCTCATCGAATTGAGTCAAAGAATATTAATACTAATACCAATTGTTGTGTTAAAACTGAAAACTTTCTTCAATATTATCATTCAACGCATTCAACATTAAACTTATTTGATTGTATACAAAGCATGACATATAAAACTGCAAATAATAATAATAATAACTATAAGATTATTATTAAAAAATGCAATAACGTGACTCAACTTAGAAATGTAATTAATAGATTATTTTATAAATACAAATCACCAAACGAATCTAATGTATTAGAGGCATTAAAAGCTTGTTCAAGACTAATAATAAATATTCAAGAGAAGACTTATTTAGATTCATATTCATCATCATCACCATCATCACCATCATCATCACCATCATTAATATCATTATCATCTTTAGACAATACAATAAACAAAGGATTGAAAAAATACTGGATTGATATTCCTTCTTTTGAGCAATATACGGTCGATGATGTTTTACAAGTTGCAGAAAATCTATTTGACAGATTAGACGATTCAGTAAAGACTACTAGTGTTTACAACAATTATATATTAATGTATAGTAATGCTATAAGAATTGATAATGCTTATTCGGTGTATAACAATATGATAAAAGAAAACATCAAACCAGATGTTTATACTTATTTATCATTGATAATTGGATGTGCGAGTAAATTAGATTTAGATCTTGCTTTCATGACAATAGACAATTCAGTGAATTCAATTTATAATTCCATAAGAAAATCATTATGGTTAAAGGTTATGGTACATTTATTAATTGGTGTAATGTGTGGTAAATTGATGGCATTTAATTGTTTTATTTTTCTACCAGAAATTGATCAAATAATGGTCTTGGGAATTGGATCGACAACCTTCTTAAGCTTAAGGTTTGGAATGGGTGCAATATTTAAAGAAATTATGCCGAATTCTCAATTAAATAATAACAAATCATCAACTAAAATTGATTTAGATCTTAAATTAAATAATTACAGAGTTGCTTTAATGAAATCGCAAGATGTACGTAAACGTATGTATATTTATTTGCTTAGGATATTGTTATATAAAGATCACTATGATGAAGCTTTAATAGTAGTTCATCAAATGTCAAGTGATGAAGTTCCATTGGATAATGAATCCTTCAATGGAACTATAGAATGGTTATGTAGTTATAAAAAACCCCCAAAAACTATCATAAAGATTATTAAAAAATTCCATGAAAATGGAGTCGATCCTACAATAAAAACTATTGAAACAATAAATAACTATTTTAATGAAAATTTAAGTGATGATGATATGATAGAATTACAAAACTTGATAAAATAACAATAATTATTATTAAATTATAATATGTTATGAAATTAATTTACAAAATTATTATTATTACTATTATTAATGTTAAATAAATTTTGATAAAAAAATAATTAATTTAAGATTTTCTAAATAATATGATAAAATTAATTGTCCATAATAAATAAAAATTATCAATATATATATATATATATATCTGTTCGCATATAAATAATCTATCATCGTTCTTCTCTACCCCAAATTTTAACACCACTGCCAACACAGAATACAAGAAACAAACATAACATTAAGAGAAATGCCATAAGATAAGCATAAGTTTCGCTGACCACAAACCTTATCAACAAAAAACCAAAAACCATATACATTAACACCAACCACTTTAAACCTTTATTCATTCGAATACCGTGTAAAGGTCTTGACCACCATGACCCAGTGACTTCTTGTGAAGCTGAACCTCTTCTTGAATTTGTAATAAATGGATCCATTAGATAGCCATTATTATCATTGTTATTATCCGTCATTATACGTTCCAATTGAGCACTAGGGGGGGTAGAGTTTAATGCATTGGTGGCATGAGGACTTTGCGGCACAGCATTGATAGTAAAAAGTTGAGCATCCATATAATCTAATGCATTTGATTTAAAGTATTGACGTACTGACGAACGTGTTAAGAAATCATCATCAGTAGCATAAAACAATGCTTCGTAAAAAATCATTTGATTTTTTTCAGGATCATCATCCTTAGGTATTGAAGAAGTCATTGTATTATTATTGGTAAATTCGTCAGTAGAAGATGACGATATTGAATTATCATTATTTGATTGTTCTTTGTTATAATCATAATCATTTATTGATTGAATTCTGTTCAAATTTTCAGGGTCTAATGATAAAGAAATAGCATTATTACTATTATTATCATCAGTAATGTTTCTATTATCATTACTATTACTATTATTAAACAACTTTGATTCTATAGCTTGTAATTCAATTTCTAAAGCACCACTAAAAGATGATAATGAATTGTGTTTTTTTATCCGAGATTGTCGAGGTTGAAATGTTTTTAATGGAGATTGTATACTACCACCAATAGACCATCTTCTTGACTCTCGGCCCATTTTTGAATCAACTTTTTCTCTTGTGGGTGAATTAAATCCATCATTAATATCGATTGCTATCGAGAAATCATTTTCTATATTGTCAAGAGCAGAAGTGGCAGTTATCTCAACAGATGATATACTTTCTTTTTTAATATGTAATGTTTTTTTTGATGTTACTGACATAGATGATGATTTAATTAAGGAAAATAATGGTTTTACAGATTCGGCTTTGATAATGTAGTAATGTACATCACCAATTATATTCATATTATTCAAGGGCTAAAATAATAATTTCATATTAAATATTTTTATATTATTAAAAAAAAAAAATAATAATAAATAAAGTGTACACATACATTTTTTGCTTTCATTCTATGTAATAATCCTTGCTCAGGTTGTGTTCTAAATAATATTTTATTTATATGATGAGCGGAATAGTATGAATGATAAAATTTAGAGTCATCTACTGGGTCAGCAGTTGCAACTTTTGCTAAAATAAAATCTTTGTTTTTTTCAGCATGTTGTTGAATCAAGGTATCAAAAGATTCTAGTGTGAAGGGATCTTCGGTTGTTGCATCTAACACTTTAATTATTAAATTTGATGATAATTGCTTGCTCTCTTTAGTTTCTATGGTTTCGTCATTATTTAATGTTTCTGGATACCCAACAAGCTTAATAAACCGATTGGAGGTAGAATAAATGTCTTCCATACCAATTAACACATTATTAAAAAAGGTTTCATTGGTGTGAGGGTCTTTTGCGATGATTGCATTATTATTTTCGTTGTTATTCTCATTGTTATTTTGGCTGTTAAGTTCATTAAGTTCATTATTCACATTATAATTATCATTATTATTATTGTTGTTGTTGTTGTTGTTAATATTAACATTGTTATTGTTGTCTTCTATTGAATCATTTTCAACCATTTCAACTATAGTTGTAAATCTAAAATTCAAAAAAAAATTTTAAATTATTTTTTAAATTTATCTATCTCGCTTGTCCTCTCACTCACTATGAGAAAGTTTTATGGCTAGCTTTTTGTAAGAAAAATAATAAATAATCCCAAATAGTAATAAAAAAGAGTAAAAAAAACCATTGAAGTTTTATTGTTTGTAATTTAGTTACAGATTTTTTTTTTACTTTTTTTGGACCTCGAATTACTAAAAAAAGAAATAATCAACGAATTACGACTGTTAGCTTGTTAGTATTAGTGTTAGTGTTTATTAGGATTGGTGTTAGTGTTTATTGGTAATTCGGTAATAGTATTAGTAATTAGTATTAGTATTAGTAGAATGTACGCGCGTTTTCGAAATGAAGGATGATACACGAAATTTAAATTTATAAAAAAAAGACCAATTCAAAATTTGCCTTCTCACCAAGTTACTTATAAACGTCCCCCATTGTTTTACAAGTAAAATTTACAATAAAATCAATCACCCAATTCAAGAATCTACTCCTCGTCATCCTTCGCACAGAAAAAATGTGATTATTTAGAATCCCCGTGGCCCGTTAATCCTTCAAACAATTTCCTTTAAACCATAATATCAATCACATCATTGACCTTTAATGAAATGATTAGTAAATTAACTTTAATTGAAAAAGTTTTCATAGCGGACTATTTTCATAGGGCATTAACTGTAAATGATAAAATATACAAGAACGTCAACAAATTTATCAGTCATCATTGTTAACAATAGGGTGAGGGGATGATGTTTGTTTGGTATTGATATATAAATATAACGATCATCTAATCTTAACACAGTGTCAAATTATTTACGCGCATAAAAAACACGTTACGTATTATAATAAATTTATTGTTTTATTAATATTATTACTATTGCTATTGCAATTATTATTATTATAATATTAATATTACTATTATTATTACTATTACTATTACTGTACTATTACTATTACTATTACTATTACTATTACTATTACTATTACTATTACTATTACTATTACTATTACTATTACTACTATTACTATTACTATTACTATATGGTAAAATAAATGAAAGGGATGTAATTTACAAATAAATATAAATAAATTACAAACAAATAACAAATATAAATAAATAAATTGAGATCATTGAAAATTTTAAAACCTTTTTAAATTCAATGATTTCTCCCTTTTTTTTTTATGTTTATATATATATATATATTTTTTTTTTTTTTTTTTTTTACAGAGAATTGTGAGTCGAAAAAAAATAAATTTAAAAAAAAAAAAAAAAAGGCAGGGGATTGGATTGTTGATTAAACAACAATCGAATACGGGAATCCTTATATGCATGTACATATGTACAACAAATGAGGAGAATATATATATGATAATGATGCCATTAAATATATATGTTAATTCCATCAATACCAAAATTGTTATGATACTGACAATAATAAATTTTCTTCTTCTAAGCCATGTACCTACTTATTGTAAATATAAATGGCACATTTAACATAAATATCCCAAGCATCTATAGCATATTTATTACTAATTGCTGATGATGATGACTGTAATGGTGGTGAATGTGAATACGTGAATATGAAGTCACCGAGATAGATAGATCTGTGTGTGTAAGAAACATTTGGCGCAGTATTTAGTCCGAATTAATATAGTAATAAAACGAACACATGTTATTATTGTTATTATTATTACCCCACAAAACTATGCAATTATAACAAAAATACATGGACCAATCAACCAATAAACTGCCAAAATTAATATTCTTTACGACGACACCATAAATTGACAATTATAATCACAATCACCACCAATGTATTTTCGATACATTGTAAGGACATCATCAGAACCGATGACGAGGAAGAGGATGGAGGAGGATGGAGGAGGATGGCGACGAGATGTGTTTGTTTGTAAAGATGGTGGGAGATTGACGATATTATTTATATATTGTGAAAAGACTGGGGAACATGACTCTTCTCGTCTTATTTAGAAAGTATATCATTACGTTGTCATGTTAAAAAGAATTATTTGAATATCGTCGTAATCTTTTGGATTAAACTATAGTAAATAAAATAAAAAATAAAAATAATTTTTAAATCATAATAAAAAAATAAAAATATTTATTTTCGTTTTTTCGAGGGGGTTTTTTTTTAAAGAAAAAAATCCCCCCAAAGAACGAACAAAAAGAAAAGTGTAGGCTATTTTAAATAATCATTATAATTTTTTTTTTTGGAAAAAAAAAATAAAACCGAGTGAGTGGAAAATTTTATTTGTCTTATATAATAATTGGAATCAAAATCTTTAAATAAAAATCTTTAAGAATCCATTATAATATGAATAGATAGATTAATGTAAAATATATTTATTTATAAAATATATCATATTACCACTCACCACTTGATTTATTTATTTATTGAAACGATTTTATTTTGTTATTGAATAGAAAGAAAACAAAAAAAGATAAATCCAAAGGGTTTGTTTATAAATGAGAAGAAACCAGTTTAAGAAATATATTATTAAATTATAAATAACAACAGATACGTACAATAATGACGATTCTTAAGTCTTAACCAGTCGAATTTAAATTTTCATTTTTTTATCTTTTTCACCGATTTTATTATCGAATCATATGCCTTTTAGAATGATTTACACATAAATTTTAGCACAATGACACAATTGTCTTATGAGAGCAAAGAAAGAACAAGAAAATAATCAAGTTTTTATTTTATATTTATTATATATAACATTAAAATATTCTACCCCCCTGACTCATTGCTACACCAAATAAAATATTTTTTTACTGTTATATTCATCGCTTGCAATTCACTCACAAGATGCATGAAAAGAGAATAATATACACGGCCACAAGTATTTTTACTCAAATCAAAAATTCGTATTTAATGTTGATATTTCTTAATAATAATAATAATAACAACAACAATAAATAATAAAATGTTAATAATAGTAAATGATTATAAGAAGACATTCGCGTGTTTATAACGTGTAAGAAAATTATTGTTAATAATTTATAATACCAACAAATAATAATTAACCTCGTCTCATTATTGTATCATTATCATCATCTTCATTTTATTTATTCCATAATATACATTACATACGCATACATATTATATATAACAAATAACAAATAATAAACACACGCACACCCACATTCATATAACAGAGATAGATAAATAATAATGAATGTATGTACAAACAAAAAACTAATAAAACCATAATTTTTTAATGATATCAAAAGAATAGGAAAAAAATTGCATTATTATACTATCTAATAATCATTCGGGGAAAAAGAGGGAAAAACATACGAGAGAGGGGGAGAACTAATGAGAAACGAGGTCGATCAATTGACAATTTAAATTTTATGCATAATATTTTGTCAACATTCAGCCAACATCCTGGCGCTACTTTTTACTTACATCCGAGAAAAATTTATTCATGTGCACAAAAAAAGATTCACTATTCTTTATATGGTAATCTAATAAAGAACGTTACCCCACTGTTACTGTCGCACTAAATTTTATATACACATTACTGTATATATTTAAACAACAATAATGAAAAAATGAATGAATGAATGAATGAATGAATGAAATAAATAAATAAATAAATAAATAAATAATAATGAAAATTTTTTTTTTTAATTTCAAATTCAGGAAAATACAAAAGTTATTTTTAATCATTGCTACTATTTGATATTCAATATTAAACTGTAGATTACGTATACCAGATATTAACTGTAGATTACGTATATCTGATATTTATGCGTTAGTGTATATACTAAATAAATAACACTTTAACAAAATAAGCAAATAAACTTTATGATTAAAAGACGCGTACTTTTAATTTAAAAAATTACAAATAGACAAATTATTATACGAATTATAAATATTTTATATATCTTAAATCTTAAACACTTTAAAATTATCAGACCATCAAACAAACCCTGAAAACTAAACAATAAAAAAAACAAGTTGAAATATTTTGATTGACTGATTGGACTGGCTCTTCCTTTCTAATTATTATATTACTATTTGCTACTTACTATAGATATCATAGACACATGTTAGTATTATTAGGTACCATTTTAAAATATAATTTTATCGCGGTTTATTTAATAGAAAGTATAATTTAATACATATAATTAGATTATGTCATAAATATTTATTACGTAATATTATTGTAACATGCAGTACCAAAGCTTTTTCATTCAATAAAGCAATCAATACGTACATTACATTACATAATTAGTACATGAAATATTTTTCTTTCTTTTCTTTTATAATGAATGACGCGTAAAAGAGAATTAACCGACATCAATGACAAAATCTCTAAAATCATGATTTTAGAATTCAAATAATGATTATTAATTAATATTGGATTTATAAATTTATAACTGCTAATAAACAATACATATAATATAAATATATCTCTACGATAGTCACGACTAATAATAAATACACATGCCTGCCTATAGCACATAAATATATTTTGTAAAACAAAAACAAAAACCAGCCAAGTGAAAAACCTTTACAACATTCATTCATCAGGCTTATTTTATTCGCTGGTATTTTTCTTCCACAAATATACACGTTTATACACATGTGTAATAATTAAACATACAATGATTTGCACATCCAAGTATATATATATATATAATGATATAGATTGTATTAGCATTAGTATATATGTGTTCATTCTAGAACTATCCGCCAAGCTCATTTCAGTCAATTTCTGAACAGGCGAATGGGATGAACGAATAATTCATGTAATAAATTTACAAATTTGATTAAATAAAACGAATGAATCAATCCTTTGAAGTAAATCTATTTGATCTTTAAAAATTTCCTTTTAAAATGATTTATTTATCTATAGTATCAATTTGGCGAAATTTAAAAACAAGGTAATAATGAATTACACGCGTACATATGATAATATCTCTTTCACATACATACATACATACATATATATATATATACACACACACAGCACAGTTAATCATTAATATAAAATATACCATGTACAAATAATAAATCTCATCATCCAATGAAAAACTAAATATATTAAAGAGTAAAAAAAAAGAAATTTAACGTTTCACTCGTATGAACGAAACCAAAAATAATCAAAATAATTAAAATAATCGAAAACTTTAAAAATTTTAAACCTGTTTTATACTTTATTATTCACTTTATATGGAATTATAGAAATCATTATGTTATGATTATGATAATTTGACCTCTCTTTTTCTAATATTTCTGTATTCATTCTCATTATCATTACTATTAGTATCATTCATTATTATCATTATCACCACCACCACCACTACTAACTGTTACTACTATTCTATCGTTGGTAATAAATTTATAATGTTAATATATCAGGTTTTTATCAAGTTTCTATAAATGCAAATTTATCAAACTTAATTTGTTTGTTTTATTTTTTCTCTTTTTTGCAATTACTTTTTTTGTGTTTTTTTACGCGAAAATATTAATATATTAATTAATCATTTATGATCCTTTTATAGTTAGTTAGTGATTGATTGATTAACCTAACAAGGCCATTGGGAGTGTCACAAATTAGAGAGTTTGGTGGTATTCATCTCAAAAAAACTCGATATTGAAAAACTTTTTCCGTTTTAAATCAATCAGTGCTAACTTATTTCGCTTTACAAAATTAGTAAACTAGAATCGCTGCTAGATTATCTTTCAATGAATGCATCATCAATACCGTTTTAGAACTCAGAACTATAATAATCTTGGCAAACAAACTAGTTCTTTGAAATATTTGTGGCATATGGATACAAATACACACATCCAATATTTTGTGGACTGGCTGCGTTCAGATTCCAGTTCCACGACGTGTTATATCTTGCTTGATCTACATATTTTTAAGCAAATCAAATTAATATTTAAAATCTATATATAAAAAAATCTATAAATCTTTCGAATCCTTGAATACTTACTTATTTGGCTAGTTCTAATTTCACCTACAACTTTGCAACCAACATATTGGTCCTGCACTATATACAAAAGAGAATCCATCAAGGCCATAGACAACAATCGTATTAAGGGTCAACTCAATTTTGAAAGCAAGTGCTTTTTGTTTCCCAACATTTGATTTTGCGAAGCTGTCTTGCATCATAAAAATCGTTAATCTCATATATTCAACTTTAGAGAAGTGAATTGTTGATAATATTTCTTAAAATTATATTTGCTGTTATTACCAATATCGATTTAAAAAGAATATTGATTTTATTACCACTATTGTTATTATGGCAATGTTTAATTAATATATAAATCCTATTATTATTTATTACTACATTAATTAAAAAAATATGTGATTTAAAAAAATTCAACTGGACATACATACTTTTTAGTAAATTAATTTGGACAACAAGTTTTAAAGTTTCAAATTTCGTTGTGACAATATAAAGCTCAATTTACTTGGACTTTTTTATAACAATAATAAAGTTGTTGTTTTTGAAATAAATTTTATTTTTCTTAAGATGATTTATTACAAATATTGCACTTGTGACTCCTTTGGAATCTTATGTGGGGCATGCTGCAACAAAACCAGACAAAGTGAACATTGGTATTACCAAGAATTTAGGGATCAATATTGTTTGTTTAGCCATAATGTATGATATTTGTCTAGACAAAATAGTTAATATTTACATCAGATCTACTATGCTAAAGTTAGTTGTTTTAGTTAACTATTTTAATTGATTCCAGCCTTTAATATTTGCAAATATATATAATAGAATAATGGTTTTGGACAAAATTGGGTTTTAATTCTAGCCGTGATATAACAAAAAGCCCGTTATATTTAAATTTTCCTCCAGCCTTTCTATAAAGATCTGGCACTGAGAATTTATATTATTGGTATGACTCATATATAAATTATAACTATTTGTCTATACTGGACTCTCTATAACGGACATTTTTATCCAATCTAACAATCTGTTATAGAGTGTAAATTGTAATATTATTATCTATAATAAATTTATCGCATGATCAGCATAAATCTTATTGGTTGAATCCCATGATAATTTTCAAATTACGTCTACATGCCAGCATATTAAAAGATGTTTTTATAAACAACAATACATAACATTTAATATTACATTATTATTATATATGAACATCATCCTATTGCAAAATAAAAATTTCTCAGTTTAAAGATATTAAATCATATTATATAAATAATTTAATTTACCTGCATTTTTTCAGCAGATGCTTGTAGAATATTGCATAATCCAACAATTCCGCGTGCTCTGCATTCCTTAGCAATAAGTCAAATACTGGTTAAATCTGATAATAATAATGCTTTAAGAAAAGATTCAGCAGATTTGTTGATATTTTCCTTTTCCTCTTTAATGGCAGCCCTCACTATTCCCATTAAACAATTGGCTTCTTGTTCTGAAAGAAAAGTCTTTGCACAAGGAAAACTTGGACAAGGTGAGACATTGTCCTCACGAAAGTATAGAACACTCCGCCAAAGGGGGTTAAACAGAGTAAACATTAGTATATGTTAATATTTAATAAATGATATTAAATAGCATAGTGGACATTTGATTTCATTGGCTAAATTTTGTGACGATCTCCCTTCCAGATATCACGCAAAAATTAAA